CTGGCCCATATATATCGTCATTCTAATAGGTTTGCATTTGGGCAACAACGTCGAACACCAAAAGAGTGATAAAGATATTAGATTAATAATTAACGAAGAGCAAGGAAAACAAATGTTGATTTGAGAATGTGTAATTTGTTATTATCCAGCATTGTCATTCATCACGATAAAAATTACCCTCTTCAGCCCCCCGCCAACGGCTTCAGCCTCTTTTATAAGATATAAATAACCAAATTATGTGAATAAAATTCGTTAAAATTAGTCAAAAATATTAAATATAAAAATAAATTCCAACTTATTTTCAGCACACCCTTATTTATGAGGAAAGAGAAACCAAGTGAGTGGATAATTAAAGTAGTAAAACTACGGATAATTAAAGAGAAACCAAGTGAGTGGATAATAACGAATATTAATGAGTATTAAAAAAAAATTGCTTACATCCTCCTGGTGGTGAACACTTAACGCGCCATCAGGAGGATTCAAGCAATTTACGGGAGAAACTATAGAAACTTCGGATTCCACATAAATCATTGAGCCAGCGATCGACCACGAACCTGCGGATCGATCGGGTTTATATTCCTCATACTTAATTTAATTGTTTTATGGATCGATCTCAAGTTGTACTAGTATGATACATTCCATATTGCATACTATATTCGATTCTTAATATAAAAACTAGTTTGACTTTTAATTTAGTACTAAATATAAAACCCCAATCTATTTTGTCTATCATCTTTATCTATATTTTTTTAGGTATGCCTTATAGTAATTGCATACGTTAGATGTTTCATGAAATGGTAGTTCTGGTTAATACACATAATTAGTAAAGATATTTTAGAGAAGACAACATATATTTATTAGAAATAACTAAGTTAACATACTACCTCCAATCCTAATTATAAGAGCTAGTTGACTAATTTGAGAAGATTAAGGAAGTAAGTTGAGTTAGTTATTTGTCCTAAATAGGTGTTGTCTTTCTTAAAATATCCTTACTAATCAAGTGTATTGACTAGAACTATCATTGTTAGAATGGCTACTTTGGGAAAAAAAAAGTATAAATATGATAGACAAAGTAAATTAGAGTCTTATATTTAGAACCAAAATAAAAGTCAAACAGGGTGTTATATTAAGGATCAGAGGTAGTACTTTATTAGTCTACTTAAATTAATCAACTATATTTTATATTAAAGATCGGAGATAATATATGTTACAGGTTCACCAGGCCGACCTTTGACATTTTTCCCAGAGAGACACGAAGCATCTCTACATATTAATCCTCTTAAGCAAGAAATTATAGTTTGATGTTTTCAAAGGACAAAATATGATTCCCACATCATTGACTTCCATACATCGTTATGTTATCTTATTCTCCATATCTTTATGATTAATGAATCTACAAATTCGACTAAACTTTAGACTTTTGACATTTTCAACGTCTTGATTTAATCACAGTATCATTATCAAATCCCCTTCTCGGTCAACAATTGGATTAAAGAATGAACGCTATCCGTTGCAATATTGTATAGAACCATGCATATATAAATTATTTGTAACAGGGAAATATAATAAATAACAATAACTGAACATTAGGTGGGGAGACAAATTTCATTAAACTTGCAGTTGCAGTTAATGCTTCCTTGCAGATAGGGATACGCTTGACTTTAACATCAAATAATTAACAGTAGGCCATGAAATTCAAACAATTAACAAGTATTTGTGTCCTGTTCTATGTTATCCCACTTCTGTCGCTTTCCCTTATCTCAAACATATATTATTTTACTAAGAAAAATTTCTATCGATATTTATTTATGTGTTTTCGGGACAAACTAGATGAGGTTTTATTCCTTGACGCATCTGATCTGTCAAAAGACAATGGATCAACTTAATTATAAAGATATGCGTAAGCTTGTCAAATCTATTTTTGCAGCGATATTTTTATTTCTGACTTGTCTTAGCTTATCTTGGTTAAATAACTTGCTGGCAAACTTTTGAAAATTTCAGTTTTATGCTTATCTTTATCAATAAGAACATTTACATACTCATGCTCGCAGAATTAATATATTTTAGTCAAATCAAAACATGTGGAACTTAAATTTAAAAGTAAGTAAACAACAATTAATATTAAAATTGTTGACCTCAGCTCCCCTCACATTTTTTTCTCATAAAAATAATTTTTTATATTAGCTCAACTCATATGGTTAATCAGTTTAGGCAAACCCAGTTATATTTTGAAGATAACTTTCAGGGTACGTAGCCAAACAAAAATGAATGTTTCAATAAGAAGCTTTTCATTATATTGCGTATGAATCGATAATTATCTATATGACAGACACGGATTAAATATAAGGACAAGTTCGGATTAACTCGGACGTCATTTTATTTAATTAAAGTTAAATCTATTGGTGTTACCCAAAAAAGTTAAATCTAATTTTTCCCCATAAAATAGATTTTGATTTTTTTTTTGGCGATATATTCACACATCTATCATATTCCCTCACAACTCACATTTGAAAAATTAAAGGAGAGGCTTAATATTAGTTGGGCTAAAGCTCCTCACAAAACAGATTTGGCTTGAATATAAGAAAGTAGGAACATCTACCTTAATTAAGTTAAACTAAACATATATTTCAATTAAAGTTCACATACTAATTCCCCTCATAATGTGTACCGTTCCAATTTTATTCCAAACAGACACGCATGCCTCCTCTTAGGACGAACTGAAAATAAGTTTCTAGGTAAAATATATAAACAAACAGCAAAAATTAATTGACGTAAGAGTTGTTAATTAATTGACAGAGGAATCAAGTAAAATATCTAGGACCGACCTTTAGTTAGTGGGAAATGGTCCTCTAAATTTTTATTATTATTATTTTTTTTTGTGAACTGGTCCCTTAAACTTAATGGCCTCCTCATATTCTACGAACCGGCCAATTTCTATTCAAACGTCAAACTTTGTGGCTGGTGACAAGGAACCAACTGGCCCTATTAATAAATATTCGACTACGATATATATAGCTTCACCAATCACCAGCATGCCACAAATCAAACAACTTGTACGACCATGGCTAAATCCTCTCAAGCTTTCCCATTCCTCCTCTTCTTCCTTCTTCTCCTTGGATTCTCCGATGCCTCACAAGGCGGCATCGCCATCTACTGGGGCCAAAACGGCAATGAGGGAACCCTGTCGGAGGCTTGTGCCACCGGGAAATACGCCTACGTCAACGTAGCCTTTCTCATCCAGTTCGGCAACGGCCAAACCCCACAAATGAATCTCGCCGGGCACTGTAACCCTGCAATTGCCGGCTCATGCGCCAAGTTTAGCTCGGAGATCAAAGCCTGTCAGGCAAAGGGAATCAAAGTGTTGCTCTCTATCGGCGGCGGCGTCGGCAGCTACTCTCTTTCCTCCGTTCAGGATGCCAGAAACGTGTCCAAGTACTTGTGGGACACTTTCCTGGGAGGTAAGTCATCGTCAAGGCCTCTAGGCGACGCAGTTTTGGACGGAATAGACTTCGACATTGAACTTGGCTCGACACAGTACTATGATTATCTTGCTCGTTTCTTGAAGAACTATGGCAGGGCAGGAGGAAGGAGGGTGTACATAAGTGGGGCCCCACAGTGCCCTTACCCTGATAGATTTCTGGGCACTGCCCTTAACACAGGCCTCTTTGACTTTGTCTGGGTACAGTTCTATAACAACCGTCCATGCCAGTATGCTAATGGGAACATCACTAACCTTGTCAATTCGTGGAACACATGGACAAGTTCGGTGCCGGCGGGGCTGATATTTTTGGGGTTGCCGGCAGCTCCGGCAGCAGCCGGAAGTGGGTATGTTCCGGCTGATGTGTTGACATCGGAAATCTTGCCTGTGATCAAGAAGTCGCCCAAGTACGGAGGAGTGATGCTGTGGTCACGGTTTCATGATAAGAATAGTGGATACACTGATTCCATTATTAGCAGCGTGTGAGGGGCTGGAGCATGAAATAGTAACTATTTTCGCATTAAGTTGTTTCTGATAAGATTGAAGTTATTTGTACAACTTATACGATTGTTTGTGCGCGTAATTTCTATTTACCTTATTAATAAAGAAAAAGCGAATTTCAATTAAGCCAGGTTTTTTTTTTTTGTTTTTTGGAAAACCATTTTAAAGGGACGTATACATTTTTCCAATTTTTAATTTGGTACTTACATGTTTTTTCTCTTAATTAAATATTTAATTTTGTTCTAGTAACGTCATTTCCTCTTGCATGAAGACTAAAAATGCTAATAGAATAAAATTACAAGAGTTAATGTTATTAAGAAAAGTAAAATCAAATTATTTAACTAAGGAAAAACATAGGTACCAAATTAAAAATTGAAAGAAAATATAGATACCTCTAATATAATTTTTTTTCTTTTTTTCTTTAAAGGAAAACGTACTGGCTCTAGGTTATGAGAATTGTTGGAAGAAGTATATCCACCAAATAAAAAAACTTCCCTCCTTTTATTAATGCAAGACATATTTTCAAATTTAATTATGTTGTTTATCTACATCAATTATAATTTAAAAAATCCATTTGAAAATATTGAAATATTTTAGAGAATAAGACGACTTTGCTTGGGGCATATGCATTCGGCTGCGGGGGTCAACGTACCTTTTTTCTTTTAATGAAATAAAATTGTTTTTTTTTAATCTTTGTCACCAAAACGGGAAAAAAAGTGAGGAAAAGTAAATAGCAACTACGAAGCTCATTGAACGAGTAAATTTATTTAAAACTACAGAGACACCGAGGGAACCGTTGACAGAAGGAGACTAACTCGAGTGGGACCTCTTCAATTTCCTACAAATTTTATCTCAAAATTCAATGGATCAGTACTATTTTGATTTTATAAGTTGATTTTTTTAAATGAAGTCAAATTATTTCGACTTTAGATACGTGACGCAAGTGTTCCCAAAGACAAGACATTGCATCCACATTTTCGAAATAAATGCATCGATGGTTTCAAGTGAGAACAGGGTAATATAAATAAAATCCACCGCTCTCTAAATTCATCACATCCATTCAGTATTATTGATTGCTTTCTTACAGTGATCAAGTTCTGAAAAAATACAACAGAATATAACAATTCGATCCCGAGTCCGTCAACCAAGGAAGAAACTGCTCTTTCCAGTCTCTAACAAAATTCAGTCCCACATACAACCTATATAGTAATTTTAAATCATAAGAGAACAAATACAATATCATGTAATAAAACAATTGAAACAGAAACAATCTAAACCAAGCAAGCAAAGCAATTGTGACATCAAACCACCAAGAGGCAAAGAGGTAACGTAATGCTACTCTAGACTAGATTATCCTGTTTTATGAGCTCAAAACTTAACCAGTGGTTGTAACCCATCTTTTGTTGCTGTTTACACTTGCCGGACCTGGATGTTGTGAGTGGACTGGGACCTCCATATGGGTTGTCTGCCACTCTGTACAAGGGCCACTTCTTCTCCTTCCTTTACCATTCCTTGCTTCTGAAGGTAGAAACCATGAATATATACTCATCATAAGTGCACGTAAAAGACCAAACACAAGAGTAAAACAAGCATTGTAGCACAGCAATCCTTTTCTTCCCTTTATTTTTTCGTTTTTCTCCTTTACTTTTTTGGGCGAAAGGGGTGTTTACATGGAAGTATGAAATATCAACTTTAACACATCAATAATAGCTTGTTTACCAGGCGTGTAAAACACAAATGCTTCAAAACAATACCTGGAGCAAGCCTAGCGCTCTAGCAAAAGTCTCCTCCGCATCGTCAGAAAATTCCATATATATGGGACACACCCCTTGATACAAAGCCAGCCGCTGTTGTATCCTCTTGCTGTGTGGGCAGCAAAATTTTCAGTTTTCAGATCATAAAGCTTTCACAAATACACAATGTATAACAAAAAACAGTAATATGTATCAGTTTAGCTTTTAAAGACATAATGCACACATCTTCGGGGAAAGAATGGAATGAATTCCATCAGATGCATCGGTTAAATCCTGGAGGATTAGGGAAATTGTAACATTGTAAATGTAAATATTCACCAATGTGCACAGACAATCGACCAAGATGAGAGAACTCAAGCCCAAAAAAGGTATAAGTACAACATAACTAAATGCATCCAATATGTCTTTCAGGGAAAGGAGAAAAACATTGAACATTTCTGAAGGCCAAATTTTCTTGATAACAAATGAGGAGGAAGATAAAGTACTTACTTATCAGTAAAAGCAAATATAGTGCCAGAAGGTCGATAGTGGCTCAGTAGGATAGCCATAAAACCTGATCTAGTGAAGACTAAAGTAGAGGTTCCAAGGGTGTTAGACATCATTGTTGCATGGTATGCAAACATCTCGCTCATGTGGTTCTGCAGATATCCAAGATAAAGAATCAATATATCCGCTCTGATGGTCAAACATAGCAAGACTTTATAGTGGATGAAAAAAATTTAGCATGGCTACAGAGCATTGTAACTTCAAACCTTGAATACTTGGCCAAGATTAGGCGGCACTTGACCACCTGGAATGGTTGCTTCTGTCCGTAATGCTACTGTGTGCATTACTTTCACAGCTTTGAGTGGGAACCTGCATGACAACAAATATAATTATTCCCTTTCTTAGGGAGTGATGGTAAGCATACTAGTTGAAAACTTTTATTAACTTTCAGCTGTTTCTTGCTTCTGTAGATTACCAACGATATTATCAGTTAACATCAAAGTTTTTCCAAATGACCCAAAATGCTAATATTGCAATTCACTGTCTACTCAGCTAAAGGACAAAATGATAATTTCCTCCCTTAATAATGCACATAGTCTAAATACCATTTATCTTAAATCACAGCAAAGACAAAATTGATTATAATACAACCTGTGTTTCTTTTAGTAGTGTTTTGGGTTGTTAAAGTGACTAACTTTATCTAACACATAGCTATATAGGAGAAATATCAATGTCATTTACAACTCTCATTCCTTTTGAATGACATGTTGTTGAAGTTAGTAACCCCCCCACTATTTGTTACATTAGCAAATCAATGTAATTTGAGAGGTTCAAATCCTCTCAATTTCCTACCAAAATTGACCCATTTTAAAGAGACATGTGATGCATGGGGGGCACTTGAGTCCGGAACCACTTGAATAAGCGACCGAACAAACTCTCCCTCAAAAATTCTCCATTCATTTTTCTACCTTGAGATATGCAGGAAGCTAGTTACTTACTTTCCATGGGCAGTTTCTCCAGAAAGCATAATCCCATCAGCACCTTCACGAACAGCAATAGCAATATCTGATACTTCTGCTCTGGTTGGTGTAGGGTGTACAATCATGCTTTCCAGCATATTAGTTGCTACAATAACAGCCTTCCCCATGCTACGGCAAATCATGATTATCTCTTCCTATAGTTTGACATTATCAGTCACAACAGATGTTAAGATAAGCTCAATTTAATGTCAACTTCTGGAAGTTTAACCCAACAGAACAATACTTGTATAGTTGCTTTCTATTCAAAATGACATTACCTGCAAAAGTGGAACCTCCTCAATGGGAAGCTCTGCACCAAGATCACCTCTAGCAACCATTGCCTAAATCAGGATTTTAAAAATAGATCGATCAACATTAACAGAATTATTCACAATCACTGTATTTACAATATAAGTGCAAAGCAACCCCCATATAACGCAGCAATATAAAGAAATAAAGCAAGGATTAGATCAAAACCCCATCAGAAGCTGTAATGATTGAGTGCAAGTTTGGTATAGAGTCTGCACTTTCAATCTTCACGATGACATGTATATCAGCACCACAGCCTGAGGTATTGAACAAGAAATTTATTATCTACAGTTATAACCCCTCATATAACTGATTGTTTAAAAACTCTTTTTCTATTTCTTACTTTTTAAATAATTCTTCAATTCATGAACCACTTGAGCATCCTTAACAAAGGAAACGGCATAAAAGTCAACTTGGTTATCTACTCCAAATTTGATGTCATCCCAGTCCTTCTCTGCATCAGAATTTTTGTTCATGAGACCAGCTTAACATCAAATAAAAAATTTAGACACAAAGGGGAAGATGGAACATGAATCATCAGAAAAGACAGAAAACAGGATCAGTAAGTAAAGACCAACCTGTAATGGAAGGCAGTGTTGCACTTTTTCCTCGAACATTCAAATGTCGCCTTGATTTGAGCTCTCCTCCATCGACAACTTCACATTTCACTGAATCAGCCGTCTTTGATTTAACCATCAATGACATCATACCACCTACATCATAAGTAAAAAGTCAATATTCCATCAAACTATGTCTAAGTAATATGGTTTCCTTGATGTGTTGGCTGCACAGTTTGGGAGTCAATGATAGTTTATAAGTTCAAGACCATTTTTAATAAAAAAATTTGACCAACTAAGTGAGGATCTGTGATTGGAATCATTATCGACAAGACTAAGCCCCTTGGGCTTGAAGTGGGGACAAAACACAAGTCCACTATATGTTGCACAAAACTTTTATACAAGATAAGTGATGACTGTTGACCTCCCAACCACTTGGTTATTAAAATCTTATTCCAAATCAAAGACCATTTCAACTTGGAAAAATGAATTATTAAGGCCCGTTGTTGGCTTAATTAAGATATTTAACAAACTAAATTTGGTTTTGCTGTAATAGCATGTTCTAGCTCATTATCCATATAAACAAGGTCAGAAGCAAGGTAGCACGCTCCGAAATCCAAAGGGAAAGAGGGCTGCTGGTGGAGGAGGGAGGGCTATGTGAAGATTGCTAAACTCTCCATAAGGCCGTGACTAATATGGAGGTAAGCATTAATCAACTTAAAACACGTTTGTGAGAGATGTGAGTGACTGAAGTGATCAAATGATTATCATACCATCAACGAGAAGCATGTCCCCAACTTCCACATCATTGACAAAATCATCGTAGTTCACACTGACACAATCTGGAGTTCCAACACCCCTCTGAATTGTAAAAGTGAATTCCTGACCAGGTGTCAACGTGATTGGTTGTGGCAAATCCCCACTCCTAACCTCAGGGCCCTAAAAGGAAGAAAAAGAACTATCAATCATAAAACCATAAGACAAAACTAAAACCTCAGTCTTGAAAAAGCAAAACAAAGTTCACATCAGTCAAATTCTCATTTACCAAAAGATATGACAAAATCCGACTTTACAACAGGTCAACAGATAATGTTACACAACACAGAAGGAAAATGTTGTTCTAACCGTGAAATAAAATAATACTAGATTAACTGAGTTGTTTTGTGGGTGGCCAATGAAGACACCTCATTCACTAATGTGTACCATTATGAATTGAAATATGAATCACAACAACTGCCAAGTTACAGCATATCATTCTAAAGAGTCACAAAAACGATAGGCCACCAGAGGCGAAATAAATGTCATCTCGTACAGATAAAGGAAAGCTAGTCATATCCTGCATATATATTATATTTGCGCAAAATAACCCTGTCGCCTAATAAGCAACATCCTTTCAGTACATACTTCATCGCTATCTTACCGTGCTTAATTGCACTGTACAAAGGCCGATATTTATTTGTCAGTAAACTACTAAAAAAGATGGCGAAAATAAATGTAAGCAACGTAGCAATTTTCAGAAACAAGAAAATAGTCAAAGTTCAAACTTGCCTTAGTGTCAAGCATAATCGAGATCACGTTATCCTTAGATTGTGCATTATACTCCTTAACCAAGTCGATAACTTTCTGATGAGAAGCGTGGTCCCCATGAGACATATTGAGGCGAGCAACATTCATGCCAGCCTCAGCGAGCTTCCAGATCATTTCCCGAGTATTAGTAGAAGGACCAATCGTACAGACTATCTTCGTCTTCCTTCTAACAGTGGGCTTCGACCACATACCAGCTGAAGTGTCACCGAATTGCTGGATTCCACGCAAATGCTGCAACTGCTCCTCAATCTAAGAACACCGAACAAGACTCATAAGCAATTCCCAACTTTCCGTCGCAAAATCGAGGCAGTTTCATAACAAATGATGAAATGTACGAACCTTCAAATCATCCTCGGGTGATACGGGAACTACTTCAGTAGGTGAAAGAGCAGCTTTCCTTGCAGTGATCTGGTATGGCCTTCTGTGGAAGCCCAACTTGGAAGTCTTCTTAGGTGAGAAAACATTGAAAGCAAAAGTCGAAGGCTTTAACGAGTTTTCAGCCCTGGGTTGTGCAGATCCAGGGTTGGGGCAAACGAAGGAGCTGTGAATGGAGCGCGTGGCCACCACCTGGGACATTGTGGATGGAAGTGGAAGAGAGCGAGAAGGAGAGATGTGAGGAGGAGGAAGTAGAAAGGAAGAGGAAGGATTGTGTGTGTGCGAGGTCGAGAAAGAAGGAAGATGGAATTATAGAGGGAAGTTGGAGAAGTCGCCGCAAAATTTGGCGGAGGTTTTGAGAAGACAAAGAAGAGAAGGGAGGCCTCGTTTGTATCGAGGAAAATGACCAGTGCTCTCGCGACTTAGTTTTCGAGGCCCTTTTCTTATCTTTTTTTTTTTTCCCTTTTTTTGTCTCAGTCGAGGGACATGCTGTCAAAAATCGCGCGGACGCTGCTTCCAGCAGTTCTACGACGCCGTTTTAAAGCGGGTCTTGAGTCTTTTTCCTTCTAATTTAGAGCGGACTAATTAAAATTTATCCAAATGGCTTATAATAAAGAAGTATTTGTAAGCTGCAAACTGAATAAGATTAGTGTAAGAAATTACCGGCACATTTATTTCGTGTAAATTTAGTGATAGAAAAAAATACTGGCTCTATTGTCTCAAAGAAATCAAGAGGGAATATGAAATGATTTTTACTAAAAAGTTGTGTTCAGAATTGTATATACCCAAACTTGCTCCATAGAGTCTTGATGTCAATAATAATACTCCCCTGTCCTTAATATATGATATAATTATTAAGTTAATTTTGATTCTAAGTATAAAACTTATTTTTCATATTTATTCGTTTTTCCTAAATTACCTTATGGATACTTTCTTAATTATAATCAAGTAAATAAGGGAGAAAGGATATCAAGAAAAATAATCATGGTGTTTTAAGAAAAACATGTTATATTTTTTATAATTAACTAACCTACCTAACTTTCTTAATCTAATTAAATAGATTTCATATTAAGAAGTGAAGGACTAATAATAAAATATGGTAGAAAAAGAGAATATTAATAAAAGGCGTATAAAAGGATAACCTAATATGAACAGCGCGCCATCCAAGCAGGGACTCTTTAATTATCGTTAAGAAGTTCACCAAACCACAAGAAGACAGCTGCACATATTGAGCAGATGAACTACTTGGTTTTATACATTTCCTAATCACAATCACAGCAATAGATATATATCTACGGATCCAAACGTGTTATGCAATGAGATGGACCAAGAAAGAAACATCAACCTGTTCACCAGTTCGGATCCTGAAAATAGGAGTGACTGTTGAAAAAGAGCAGTCTGAAACTTTAATCCATTCTCATAACACCACTGGACCAATCAAATTTAATGAAGAAATCATGCCAATTTGACTCCCTGTTATACGTGCCCTTTTCTTCACCACTATAAGCTTAATTAACTGACATATATAGTAGTACTATATATACACACATAAATATTTTATAGTAGTACTATATATATATACACACATAGATATTCTAATAAAGCATGGGAAAATTGGGGAAGGAAGAAGCATGGGCTTGACACAAAGCAAATTTCAATTAGAGGGTAATAATGCTAGCGATGTATGATCATATGTCTCTTGAATGATGCATTTGTTTTTCCCCCGACTTCCCTGGTTGTCCAAAAAAACGCTGTACTAATACTTACGTGCAGTACTAATGCGTGCATATATCTGCATTGATATACACATGTAAACATATATATAAAGCTGAATTTCTAGCACTAATATTTTACTATAACATATGAAAAGTTAAGAGAAATAGACTACTGAGAGACCTAGCAAGTTCACTAATTGGAAAAGATTAAGGAAACTTAAAAGTTACTTTAAAATATTTATATGTCTTATTTTTTTTCAAACCAATTTGCTTAACTTATGAACTAATATATAATCTAATAATATATAAAAGTATTTTAAAAAAATTATGTAACATATATTATAATTAAGTAATTTTTTTTAACTTTTTAAAACTATCTAAATCAGTCAATCAAGTCTTATATTAAAAACTAGAGAAGTGTATTTTATTACCATGTACATAGAGAACTTCCCAATCTTATGCACGTGTACCATAATTGGTCCAGAAGCAATAATAATGTCACTCTTACTATGTGCAGAACCTTGATTAATTAGACTCTAATAATAATGAAGGCACCTTTGGACGCTTTATTGCATTCATCAGCATTCAGAATGCCACAGACGACCTCAAGTTCGATGCTAGGATGAGCTTCTTGGTTCCAGGACACAGATAAATGCCCTCCAAATGCTTCCCACAACAACCAGCTTGTTGGGTTTGTCATGACGTCAAATGGATGCCAGTTAATCCTAATGGAGCAACAGCTAGCACTTTTTGGGCTTAAAATTGGGTTTCTCTCCCCCATCATTCGGCCCATTTATTGAATAATGGGCCCATACTATTAGTGATCTTGGCACAGCCCAGGAACATTGTGAATCGCTTGCAGAATAGCGATAAATTCAAGATTTTATATCTATCCGACAATGGAACCTCTCCTCTTTCTCTTACAGTCCTCTTATCAGCCTCTTCTCTAATCCCACCCTCAATTTTATCTTCGGTCATGAAACACTCAATAAAATGCTGAGACCTGTAGTAAAATACTATCAAAACAGTGAGTCTTCAATTTTAAATTTAACTGCCTTTTTTCCCCCTTTTAAAAAAAGCCCCTTCTCCTAATTGCTCTACATACCCGTTTGAATAACACAACTTGCCTCGAGTTTAATTTAATATGCGAGAATAATTTTCATTTTGACGTGAAACAGTAAATGTTATATTTGTATGTGCAAATGTCAATATTTTATTGGGTGTCTCGTAACCATGAGATGAAATGGAGGGTGAAAATTAGAGAAGAGAACGATAAGAGAACCGTAAACAAGAAGAGAGGTTTCCCGCCAGCAAGCCTTCCTCTAAAGTTCGCATCTTTCAAGTTTCGATTATGTTTACCTAAACTTTAACTGTAATATTAAAAGGTGAAAAAGATTAAATTTAAAAAAATTAAAATTGGTTATAGCTTTGATGGGGGGTTCAAATTATTAGCAGTGGCGAGTCCCACCAGCACAGCACTATCTGGCAATTTGCAATATTGAAATCGATCAATGTACGGAGCCATCCATCACTGACTTGATTAGCTACTACCACTTCCACTGGCTGCTATATTCTAATATTATTGTTTATTGCATCTTCTTACTTTTCCTCTTGGCTCTTCAAATTCTAAAAAAAAAAACCTTAGCATAATCTGATTCATAAGTACTCCTATATGCCTATGTGCTGTTAGAATTTAGAAACCATGATATTTATAGAGTTGTGAAGAGTGTGACATTTTAAAATAAAATGTTTCATTAATTTATTATGGCTTAGCAGCTATTAATGAAATTTATGCATGATTTTTGTAGCTCAAACAAGAAATAGGGAGCCTAACTATAAGTAAACTTTGCCCACTTGATTATGAAGTATGGACAATCCCATTGGGCGGCCACTTCCTTTGGAAAAATTTCATTGGTGGGTAGGTACGCGTGCTGGAAAGATGTTTTGTGATATTTAATTTATTTTTTATAATTTATAAAATATCATTTTCTTGAAATTAATTCATTTGTTTTCATACTTGGAATATATTTATACCAAGAGGCACAATGCCTTATCAGCTAGAGAAGTTTTGCTCAAGCTTGATCTTGGATTCAATACTGCTTTCAAACTTAAAAAGATGATGATCAAGGTGGAGGTCAATGGCTATATGTCTAGACTTCAACTCGGAACCTCTCTATTTAATTTTTTGAAGTGAAATTTATTGGTAATTTTTCCAAAAGGTAAAAGAAGAAAGCAGCACGAAGGCGGCTGCATATTGTAACTGATAAACTCAACTTGGAGGCCTAAGGGAAAAAGCAAAGTTGCTTCTTTCTTCCTTCCACACGTTTTGATATGCACTATATATCTCGACAAGCAGCCATTGTTGCGTATGAATCTTCGCCCAAAGTTATCTTTTAATATATATATATATATAATACAATTAGCCCCTATTCATAAATCTCAAAATTAGGCAGCAATTTGTCATTTGTGTCCATCCATTTTCTTACCAACAAATTGTTTAGTTTATGGAATCTAGTGTTTTAAACTACCCATTTTTAATGGACTGTTGTGATGCTAAATGGTTTGTCCTTGACTTGACTATTAAATTGAGTTACGTTTTAATCAATCAATTACTAATATGCACTAGAGCCAAATACTTGAACCAAGGCAGAACAATGATATTTAATTAAGAGGAGACTACGAAGTGATGCCACTTGAATAAGGCTAAAGCCATCTGCAGAAAAAGATAATGAGATCACTCACAGGGCCCCTCTTAACAGTAGTTATTAATTTTAAATATTTGAGTCCTTCGTTGCCATTTTCCTCGAAGGATCTTCCTTGCGCACTGAGTGATTGAGTCCTTTGCAAAGAAGATGGCAGTGCAATGGCTTTAAACTTCCGTGAGAACTTCTCAACTTAAGTAATGTGAACATGTTCATTGGGTTTGAGTAGGCAAGACCATACTATATATAGGCACTAGTAATATAACTTTTGAATTGCGAAAAACCAGACATTGGTCTAATCATTTTTCAAAAGAATGAAGATCTTGAACGCAGTTTCTCTCAAACTCCTTCAAGTAATACTGGTTTTCGAGCTTCATCTTTTTGTTCTCAATGATACTTTAGAGCTACAGGTGCAGCAGTTAGGTGTCCAGAAAGGAAAGGCAAGCCTTGCTTCAGTCAAAGATGGCCTCGTGGACAACAATGGCCGTTTGTCTTCCTGGGGAAGTGAAGAGGAAAGAGAAATTGTTGCCAATGGGAGGGAGTTCAGTGTAGCAACCGACTGGACACGTAGAAATTCTCGACCTTCGTGGAGAATTCGGTGACGCAGGAGAACA